GTTAATTAATTCACCTGACCATCAGAACATGTGAGGTTGGCCTTGAATTTCGCTTTTTTCGATGACGAAATTTTTTATTTTCGAATTCGGTTATTAATTTATTTAGTAGGTGGGTCAACGGTGTGATGGTGAAGTAGACTTTTATGGGTGATTTTACACTGTTTGATCATATTATATTTATTTATATTTTATAATAATATTGGCACTGTAAAAAAAATAAAAAATCATGCAGCAGGTACGTAAACGGTAAACCCAATAGAAAGAAATTGAAGAAGATTAAGCAAATATCAAGTTGCAGCATCTTAGTCTGGAAGTAACTTCGACCCCACTGATATGTGAGACTCTTGACTTATTGGACGTGTTTTATAATTCTGCTTTTGCATGGGGCCACATGCCATGCCAACTTACTATACTAAGCAAAATCAGTCTCCATTTTAATCCACAGATTTTTTATTATTTTTATTATATATAACCGCTATTAGGAGGATGAGAATCGAACCTAAGATCTCGGATGCAAAAGTAAATATTCTAAATTATTTGAACTACAAGCTCGTTGCATCCATTTATAAGCATTAATTAACTCTTTAAGTTTAGTGGTAGTTATATTTCTTCTTGGAAAAGATTCTAAATTTGAATTTCCTAATAGGTGAAGGTGGTTCACAATTTGTAGGTCAAATCAAAGCCATGTTTGGCACAAAGAGTTGTAAATCAGAATCCATTCCGTCGGCCAAAAGGGATCGATTTAACTTTTAACTTTTTTTTTAAAGATCTTAATAGATCTTTAATTTCAGAATCAGAACCAAAAGTCTTTCAAGCCGTACCGAATCGGTCAGATTGGACTCTAAATTTGGGTGGCATGCTGAAGAGTTGAACTACATAAATAATATATATACCAATTTTTCATTATGGATGTTATTGAAAATGATTTGAGCCATTCAAATTTTAAGTCATTTTCAAGAATCACGTATCCAAGCATAAAAGTCAGCTAAAGATACGAAGCCCTTCATATATATAACAAATTTTCATATTGGACATTCAAATGTTGAAATTTGTGGATGTTATTGGAAATGATTCGATCCATTCAAATTTTAAGTCACTTTCAAGAATCACGTATTCACGCACAAAAGTCAGCTAAAAATTAAAAACCCTATAGTAATGATATATTTGAAACAGTGAACTCATCTAAAAATTCGATCACAATTGAATGACTAAATAGTTTCTGATATTCCAATCTAGAGAATTTGTTGTAATATACATACACGCACATATAAAAATCCTTGACCAACTAAGGATCTTAGATTGAGAGAGAGGCAGGACGCTATTGGCTCAAGATTGGTGGTGGGGGTTGGGATGGACCATGAAGCATTGTCTCTTAATGTACATGAAATTAATACAAAAGCTGAATTAGATTCGTAGGGTTTTAGAGAGGGGACCTGCATGGACCAACAAATAGCCTGGTCACCATCCACATGAGAAATTACAGAGATATGTGTAGAAAACTTGTCTTCAATGGAAAAGTAATGTCGATAGAAGATGCCATTTTGCAAACAAGCCATTGGATAATGCCATTGTCATTGTATGTAGAAAAGAAGACATTGTGAGGGTCCATACAGAAGAACCCTAGAATTTCTAATCACCAAACGAACGGGTGGACTTTGTGGGCAACCATTTGCTTATTTGTCTTCCTCAATCCCACATTATGTTCCCTTAAACACTGATTAGTCAGGCTATCAATTCTCTTAATTTCTTCGTCTAATATCCGTTCGGTTTTTTGAAAGATATAGATGGCCGGATTTGATAAGAAATGTTTGTTTTCACTTTAAATACATTTGTACAGATTAATAACGAAAGATACATTTGATTGACATGTGCTGATAACGTTACGAATAATAACGACGGCTTCTCTATCTTACTAATTAATGCATCACTCTCTATCATCAATAGGGACTGATCGAGAATAATGGAATAAAAAAAATTGGTTTATAATTTTAATCCAGGCTAATTTGTCAACGAAGTTTAGCTCAATGAAAAATGGTACATTGACTTGCATACTAGTAGTCTCAAGTTCGAACTTTCATGATACTGTTATAGTACATGTGTGTAAAAAATCATATTCTCATATAGTTTAGATTATCGCTTGTACTAAAAAAATTCAGACTAATTTAAATGAAAACCCTTTTTCGGTTGGTGGTTTGAACTTTGAAGGATAATTAAAGATATTTGTGCCTCAAGGGTAAGGATCTAGCCTCTGGGTGGGGGTCACTTCTGAAAGTAGACTTAAAAAACTTATTGAGGGGTAGGTCCCTATAAATATTTTCCTAATTCTAGTTAATTACATGGTCGTTTTCTAGTTTTTAGTGGACGAACATGCATAGCATTCATGCTTAATGAACAGGTTAAAATTTGTGTAAGTAATAAAATTAAGATGAGTGGAAATTACATGAAACGCCAAAAGTGTCAATGTCAAAATTTTGCATAAGGTTAATTAGCCAATCAATTAAAGTAAACTTGTTTTGTCTTCACTCTGCTGGCTGCTTAGCTTGATCCAGTCTCGCAATCATCCTCATGTTAAGTCAAGTTTATGTATCTGACACGCACACACACACATCTAAATCCATTAATTAATCTATTAATTTACTAACTAATCTATTAAACATGAAGATCAGTGATGTCACCATGATGCTAAAGATGCAGGAGAGGCCGGGGAGGGGAGACGAAGAAGATTTGATTTGCAGTGGTTCATGGTGGTGATTAGGATGATAATATATATAATATCAAGGCGATTAAAAGATGGTTATGCATGCTTAGAAGAATAAAATCATTTGGTAGGGCAGGCTCTAGCCTCGTAATAATATTATTCTACACACTCTTCGATTGAAGATTATTCAAATTAATTTATAGTTAATCCGAGAGAGAGAGATACACCATCCCATGTGCTTCACTTTCCTTCAAACATATTTTATATAGAAATTGATTTTCGAAAAATTTAGCAATAATTTTGTAGGCAGAATGGGACATACAGGTGGGATTAAGAGGCCAAAAAGAAATAACATGGGATTCATTTCTTCAGTTTAGGTACAAAGTGGAAAAGGCTCCAGCATATAATAATGAATAAATAAAGAAGGCTAAAAAGAGACCATCGATTGATGTCGGTTCTTTTATTAAAAGTTGTACTAGCTAGAGGATTGTAGTTTCGGATAAATGAGGATATATATATGTTGAGGGGCAATCTTCCCTATTAGAAATTTATACTGTTAAAATTTGCGTTACTAATAGTTTGGACTAATTGCTCGATTGATCACAAATTTAAATCAAATTCACTTTACTAATATTCTATTCGCGGATTGACAACATAACATGCTAAACCGTCTTGTAAAAAATTATTTTTCATGCTTACAAAGTGCATGTTTTGTAAAGCATCTTTCGGCCAAGTATTTTAAAATGAGACAAGGCTACCCTAACACATTCCTAATTATATTATTATATTTCCTAAACCATCACCATTAACCAAATTGCAAACCTAGCTACATCGCTAAGACGTGAGTGGTGGGGTTTTGAAATGAAATTACTTTCACATCGAATTATAACATTCCATTACAAAGTTTAAAGGGAGTTTATGATTAGATTAGAGGCTCCCTCGTGTGGTGGTAACAATTTCTTCAATTTTTATATGACAACTTTCTCTCCTAAAATCAAGTAGTAGCTAGGCAGGTATACAAGTAAAGGTAGTGTTTGATAGAAAATAAAAAGAAAAAAAAGGGTTAAAGGCGGTGTGAATATGTGAGGTTGGAGAGATATATAGGCCTAGGCATCACTTTCAGAGAGAGATGGGATCGGATCATATATGTTCGTGTGATATGGATGGAATAAAGGCAGAGAGGTTTTAAATCTAAGCTTTTGGATGGCTACGCTTTAACAGAAGCCTCCCGTGTGCCTCACGGGATGCAAAAGATCAAAGGCCCCCTTAAAGGAAGATGCTGGATGCATCTATCATCTATTGCATGCAACTTCAACTTTGCCTTTATCAAATTATCTTCATCCATCTTTACAATCTTCCTTTTGTTCCCATCACACCATACAAATCTCCATATTCATCAAACCCTTCTCACCCAAGGGTTAATAAAGCGGTTCGCATTATATAAACACATGGATGTTATGTCAGAAAGTAATTTAAAAAACACAATACGAAACAAGCTGTAAACTCAAATGTCATAGATTTGAACAAGTAGATATACATATTTAGGGTTTACTATGAAACCCGTGCCCGATAAGGAAAGTTGAGTTGTGGAGTTTTTCTCTTTTCCAATAAGAAAAAAACAAGAAATTTGATTATAAGAGATGCTATTTTTGGCTTAGTTGCTTGTCCAACAATCATGCTTTAGGATGGCATGATGGGGATACGTGACCTAAAGCCCATCGTTGTAAAGTCGGGCAATGATTCAACAAAACACCAGGCTGGACTAGTTTGGACTGATCACAGCTTTGGTGGAATTGAGAGTTCTTATCAGAACCAAAACTTACTTTGTTTGTACAGAACCAAAAAGAGAAAACAATCATAATAGAGCTCATAATTTTGTTAGTTGCAAAAGGCTTCAACATCTTAAGATCTTGTCCTTTCGTTAAGTAGTTGACGATGTTAATTCCCATGTACAAGACACAAGAATTACGTTTGCCTTCACCAACTGAAAGAGATTCCATTCTCCCTCAAATTCAATGCTTTTCACCAACTATCACAAGAACCTATTTGTGGTTTTTTTTCTTTTTCTTTTTTGGTCCAAAACCCATTTTGTCCCAAAAAGCCCCCAAGGCCAACAAACACTTTGGAGAAATGGCACCGTTTCAAATAAATTGGCTCAAAAGACAATTCAACGACTGTCCACTTCTTGTCCTGAGTTTTAGTCATCCCTGTCACACCTATGCTAACCAGATGCCAAGACAATGGCTAATACAACTGCGACTGCATTTCCATACTTCATCCCCTTCCTTACTGTGATACCATGTGAGAGAACTCTCAAACAATCTATAAACCGGATCAATACAAGACGCGTTTTCTGTTCAGTTCGTACAAGTGAGGAGCTGAATTCAAACCAAATATTAAATTAATTATAAACATATATAAAAAAAAAAAACAAAGTCGAGCTCGAGTTTTATCATGCTCAACTCATAAAGCTCACAAACAGTGCGTTTGATTTTTATTTAGACACGTCAAGCCCAGTTTAAGCTCAGCTTGTTCGTTGATACTTCCAAATGTACTCAAACTATTTCCACAAACAAAGCCAGCTCAAGCAGCAATCGAGGCTGAAGCTCGAGCTTGAAAGCTATCATTCTCTACGTATAATAAGCAGGCAGCAAATACTCCTTTAAAACATGCACATCATCAAGCGTATAAGCCCATCCAATGGTTCCATTATAGCAACGACTAAAGTCATTTGTCCCCTCAGAAGAGTCGCTAGTCTTACAGAAACAAACATAAATCATAGTATCCATTTATTATACACTCATATACAACAAGGTTTGAATAACTCGGAATGAAACCTATGAATTTCAATAGTGACCAGTGCTCTACCTTTCTAAAAGTACAAAAATACTCCAATCCAAGTATTTGAAGTACTCTGATCACCTTGCGTCAATTCAATATCCATCAATGTCTTGTTCGGCTTCGTACCCTGTAACGTCAGCTCTCTGAATCAATCTCCAGGAGTATGAACATGCCACATGACGAGTGTCAGGCAACAAAAAAAGGAAAGGGAAACACAGTAGGGTCACCTTGGTGAGCGGGAGTACGTGCGTGAACGATTACGGGTTCGGGAGCGGGAGCGGGAATGAGACCGAGACCGAGACCGAGATCGAGAATAATGTCTTCGGGAACTCTTGCTTCTACTCCGACTTCTACTATCTCGGTATCTTCTGCAGTAAATGCATTTCACAATCATGGCCAAGATAATATAATCACATAATAGTGGTACCCACATACTTCTGACCCACCAGCCACGACCACATGATTCAAGTAAAAAGTGGACCTAATCCTTGGGGATTATCGGCCTTAAATTCATAGTTGGAGCCTGCACCTATCATGTATAAAAATAAAATAAAAAATCAATCAACTACCGTGGAGGAGAGCGGCTATAGCTCCTGCTACGACTACGACGTCTAGATCTACTTAATCGGCTTGTTTCTGCAAGTTTTTCCAACCTCTGGCGCTCCTGCTCTCTCTTTTTAGCAATTTCAGCAGCAGTATCTTTCTTAACTGAAAAGGCAAATAATTTCATAATCAGATTATATGAAGATCCAACACAAAGTACCACAATAGCCTTCTCTACCATCACCCACATACTTTGTTTGTTCAGCTGCCTGCTCATAATCCTTTTAAGTCGTTCTTGAGGAGTTTCTTTCTTCTCCACTGGTTGCTGTTTCAATGGCCCACCAGAAGTACTTCCCTTAGTTAACTTTGCTAACGCTGAGGATGTACTGTGAGAAAAAGAAATAAATCAACTTTAAAAAGTCGTACATATATGGTTACAAGGATATAGAAGAAATCAGGTGACAAAAGCAGGATGAAAGAAAATAAGCATGATGGTTAATAAAGCCTCCAATAGGCACAATAACTATATTAATTTTTGGAAAGTTAATGCATGAAGAAAGAAAAAAGATCTTCTGATCTAGGCTCCATGAGATACCTTGCTGGTGGTTTCACCACTTTAGTGCCCTTATCCTTCTCAAGGGATGCACCGGATGCTGGATCAACGTGCAGAGCCTCGAGTATGAGACCAGTTGAAGGCCTACAAGAAAGAAGAAGCATTAGGGATATCAGTTCAGGGAACAAAATGAGCTTCAGAAAGGAAGCCTCCTTCCTTCTTCCTCTTGGCAGTTAGGCTGATAACCCTAAGCCTGATATATTCTAAACGACAAAATTTTTCCTCAGGTAACAAAATGGGTGAAAAGCTGCAGCAGAGTAAAGACTGTCCAATGAATCTTTGCAAGAATAAAAGGTCGAGTGCTCCGACCGGTTTAACACATCGGCCTGTGAGGGAGGAGATGACGGTGGAGAAAATCCTGCACGCTTTGATTCATCCTTATCTCCGGAGCCCCCAAATTCAGTAATATATTCTATTTTAGAAGTTGCTGGTTTGCTTCGATGAGCTTCATCAGAATGTCGTCCACGAGGATATCTCCGTGAGAATGATGGTGAGTATGATCGCGATCTTGACCTGCACACACAAGTAACAAGAAGTATGTACCAAGTTCCTTTTTGTGGTGGTAAAATACGAACATACACAGCAATAGCATAGATTTTACCTTCTTGAGCGAGGATAAGCTTCATATGTTGGACTTCGTCTAGATTCACTGCAGATATAAATAGGTGCAATCTTGTATAAGAGCTATGGAATGCAAAATTCCACCAGTTGGAAACAGGAGCAAAAGTCAAATAAAAAGAAAATTTGCAGCTTTTACCGGTACGGATCATGGTGGAGCACCTGAGTTCCAGTTACCCGTGCAGCTTCTCTTGCCCTCTCCCTTTCTATCTGAGAAGCCTTCCTTCTTTCCTTGCGACTCATCTTCCTCTACAGATTTTAGTAAATGCAAATCATGCATTGATCACTACTACAACAAGATTGGTCATTTAACCCAAAGTTGTGAGAACTTACAATTGCAGGATCGCCTTTGATCACTTCCTTTTGTCTTTTCTCCTCCTCCTTAGCTTTCTTATCCATGTATACAAGCCAACCATATCTTTTTATTCCAAATTCTTTTGCTATTTTATCCATTCCTTCATCACCGCTATCATCACTGTTGAAATCATCCTCATCCTCATCTTCTTCATCATCTTCATCATTATCATCAGCGTCTGAAAACTGAGCCTCTTCTTTTCCATCCCCTTCATAAGAGAACCCCACCTGTGAATAAGAACCTTTAACGGCAGAAGGTTGTTGCATCTGAGACCTGCCACATATGCATCAAAATATAAGACATGATCCCACAAGCAGTTAAAGTATCAGTCATAACATCATTCATCATATCACTCGCCAACAAATTTATTTAGTGCAGGAAAAGAAATAGCCACATTAGAACACCACACCAGCAAAAATGTAAAAGAAAAAAAATCAAACCTCTCAGGAGCAAATGGAGCAGTAACCCTTGTCTCTATTTCTTCATTCACATGTTGCAAACCCTCTTCATCTGTAACTGTTGACGTAAAAAGCTTAAACTGTGACAATCTTAAACTAAACTCCGTAGCTTATGAAATGTTTTTGAACACCAAAGATTGATAATTTTAGTCTTTCATTGATAGCATCTAGCATTACTCTACTCTTAACAGATAGAGATAAATATTTCACACAGAAAAACAATCAAAAATCCACAAACTTAAGATGGTGATATAACTATTTTACATAAAAATAGTCTGTAATCTACATTTAATTGAAGACATTATGATTAAAAATCAACATAAAGTACCGACATCCTCTACGACGATGCTTAATTAAATCCCGATAACGCTCAAAATTAACAAACTCTTCTAATTCTTCCTCTTCTTCCGATTTTTCTTGAGCACGTAAGTGCCGGGACTCTCGAATAAAATCGAGAAGAGCACGCCCATCAAATCTGCATTTCACATACATACACAAAAATCAAGCTACAATTGACCCCCAAAAACAAAATTAAAGCTACAACTTTTGCAAAAAAGGATGAAAGCATTGCAATTTGTACCTATCAATCAAAACGTCCTGTTTCCCATTCCAAGGAATCCTGAAAGAAAGAAAATTCGAACGAAACGACGTCGTGTTCAAACAAACATATGCCATATCTCCATTTGCGACTAATTTAGGAGCAAAATTCAAGCTCAATCAAGAAGAAAGAGTTAGGGAAGAGAGGCATTACAGGCCTTGCTGGTCCTCGGAGGCTTGGTAGAGGCCGTCGTCGCGGTACAAACGGCAGCGGGAGCCAACGACCTGGATCGATTGCTGCGGGTCGCCGCGGCGCTTGGCAAGGAAAACGGCACGTCGTTGAGCTCGCTTTCGAGCGGCGTCCATCATGTCGTGGACCTTCCGCTCCGACCTCCTTGCTTCGTGCCACATCTTCGACCGGTTTCGGTTTGATTCGATTCGGATTCCGATTCGGGTCGACTGGTTGAGTTGTGCACCTAACAGAAGAACAGAGAGCCCTAACCCTTTCTCAGTTCCCACTTGTTGCCTCCACCACCGACTTATGTCGTGAGAAGGACGAGACCGGATTGACCGATAATAGAATACAAGCTACTTGGTATTTTGGGTTTGGTCCAATGCAAAAAGGTTTGGCATTTTGGGTTGTGGGCCCACATATTTTCAAGCCCAATTTTGATCCATAATTTGCTTGCCCATATATTCCCCGAGTGCAATAAGGGATTGAAAATTTGTCATTAACTAAAGTCATTTAGAGCATCCATAGTAGGGGTTGTATAATGGAGTGTATGTTAAATATACACCATTTGTGATCGAAATTATCGGCAATGGAAATGTGTAAAGAAGTGCAAATTTGCATCACGACTAGAGATGCAAATTTAGATGTACATGTACATCTTTTTTTACATCTCTTGCAGGTGGGATCTAGCTGAAAAATGTAAGATAAAGTGGAGAAAAGTTAGCAAAAAAGTTGCTAGACCAAAATTCATATGTGGGCCCATTTTTCGGTTGTCATCTCTCCCCCTCCAACGGCTACATTGCTGGACCAACAGCTTTAATTTTAAAAAACAGCCCGCTTTAATTGTTTTTTGGATGAAATTATATCTTCTCAGAATTTAAATCTTTTTCAGTCTATTTGTTTGAAAAAATAAAATTAACCTAATACACAAAAAATTAATTTTATAAAGCTAACACAAAAACAAATTAAGACAAAAAAAATCAATTATACATTTTTCCTATTGGAGCAAAAACTACATTTACAACTCCCGAATGTGTAAGGGGATGTAAAAGTTGTTAAATTATTCTATATGAGTTGTTCTATAAGGTCCATGTATATGTAACTTAAAAGGTGATAAAAACCGTATTGAATCCTTACGTTTTTTCTTCTTTTCTCTCATGGTCTACTTTCTAAATGGCTTATTAATATCGAAACCCACCCATCTCATTATGAAAATTCTTGGTTTGAAGCGCATGACGGAAACAGAGACACAACCAGTCCTTGTCCTTGTATTAATAAGAACGAAGTAAACAAATTGAACCCATAGGATAACATAGGATGATAACAAAATGCAATCTCTAACCTGCTTTAATTGTACAACATGTTCTTTTCATCACTCAAACTTTATTGTTTAAGATGGTTACTTTCATTTCCTCTATATCTGTCGGTGGATCCACTAAGGGACAAGTGCAGGCAGTTTCCCTCACTCAGTATGGGATCCGCCCATGAAGTTGCCCAGCTTCTCTGTTGTTTTCTTGGAGCCTAGGGGCAAAGTCTACAAACTGTTTGATAAAATGCCTCAAAGAAGGCTAAGGCAGGTCAAGGGGCCACAGGAATGGCTGAGACTTGGGCAACATTAGGTCAGACTTTATGGAGGCAGGGCAAGGTGCCAAAGGAATGGCCGAGACTTGGGCTGCATTAGGCTAGACTTTACATAGGCAAGGTAAGGGGTCAAAGGAATGACTAAGACTTCGGATGCATTAGACTAGACTTTACATAGGCAAGGTAAGGGGTCAAGGGAATGACTAAGACTTGGGCTGCATTAGGCTACACCTTACGTAGGCAAGGTAAGGGGTCAAAGAAATGACTAGGACTTGGGCTGAGTTAGGCCAGACTTTACAAGGTTCTTGCTCCCAGGAAGGAAAATTCATGGATCCGCCTTGTAGTTTGAATTTGATTCTTGTCTTGTAAACCTAAAAGTCCAGCTTTGCTACTACACATTCTGGCTAGTTTTGTTTGTAAGTTCCATGTTTTGGTTCTATAACTCGATCTCATAGCAATCCACCAATGTACCATAAAGCACTCTGTCATTATTGAGAGAAGGGCTTGGTTCTTGAAAAAAGCGGGAACCTGTTAACTAGGAATGATGGGTCTCCGTCCAGCTACCCCAGCTAATAAGTTTGATGAAGGAATCATCTTCTTCTATATGGTCCTTGTTTGTTTACTACTCAAAAGAAAAGTATCAAAAAGCAATTCCACCGATAGCTTTGGCTTCTTAAAAGAATTCAGGCGACGCTTGCTGCGTGGATCATTATAAGAAACCCCACGACGTACGGCCTTGAAACTCAATGATGTATGTCAACTTTAATTTGAATTATTTTGTTCAACAAATACCAAACAAATGCATCGAGAGGAATTTTCAACTTTCAAATGTGCTGGCCAAGTTTTTCCGCTGCTATGGTGGTCTTGCGCTGACTAAACAAGTAGAATGGAAGTAGTGCTTGTGCTTTTGCATTAAATTCAAAAAGACATGGGACACGTCACACCTGACATGATGAACACCACACGTCGCCCATCATTTTTAGGGTTTGGCATGGGAACGAAGGGCTACAAGTCAACAAAGCTCAAAAACACACAGTCAAAGTTGCCAATTAAAAAATAATCATCATGATTTAGAAGAAAATTGGTTTAGAAGAAAAAGAAAACCACCTTCCATTCTGCTTGTTGGTCAAGAATAAACGAAAAAATAAAAAAAACAAGCATGGCATCCACCCCTCTTATATGATGTCGTTTTGCCCATGCTTTCTGGGTCAATATACAAACCTAAATATCAAGCACATATGTCATACATTATTATTATTATTAATTTTGTACCTAGGTCGGTTGCATGTATCACATTATGTATATAATATATAGATTAAAAAATTAGGAATTGTGACATAAAATTAATTTAACAATTAATCTATTGTTTATCTGGAACTTAAGCCGCCAGGGCCTGACAGACAGCAACCCTTGCAGTGCTGGACGTGAAGTAATTGACGTTTTATAGATTAAGTTTGATTATATATATAGTTACTAGTATATTAATGTGAAGATTAAGCTAACTCAAGCTTAACTTGTGAGATATTTGCCCGTTTTCTTATCGATGGATACTCTTGAGTATACAAGTGGGGAAACAAACGTAAGCACAAATTGTGAATTAATTATTATGGCGTGCTTTGTCTGTCAACCAAACTATACAAGTCAGCTCCTCCTCCTCCTCATGTATTATCATAATCATCATTAACCATCATCTCATAAATTGACCGAGTTCATCTTCGATCAAGTTGAAAGTTTCGGAGAAAAATATGTATAGCATTCTTAAAACAAAAAGGCACAAAAAAAAAAAATACAAATTTATAAATAAACCCAATCCTAGACATGTATTTATAAAAAAACCCAAGCACTATTTAAACATAGAAACACACCCAAAATTAACCCCAAAGTCAACTTTTTGGGTGTGTTTATAAATGGATTTTGAGTGTGTATAATGATGGGTTTTGGGTGTGTTTATAAAGTGTTTTGGGTGTTGGGTTTTTTTATAATTTCAACCTCCATTTTGGGTGTTTTAGTGAAACTCCCAAAAAAAAAAGGGATGATGGTTTTAAATTTGTGTGAGCAACCTTGCTACCCACTCCTATCATGAAAGTGAAATAAAACTAATGCAATATATGAACATTAAAATGAAACTAAACTAAACTGATTCATATGTTACTTTTAATGTCATAAACTACTGCACCAATTTAAGCATCCCCTTTCCGTCGTGTGCGCCAAGTCATCCAAATACCCCCACCCTCAAGCTAAAGCCACCCAGCTTGCAATCACACAATATATTGTGAGAAAGTTAAAAGTACATATATGATAGTGCGTGATTGACTTAAGATGTGACTAGCTCGCATCCTTTTAATTTTAGTCGTAAGGCTATTAGAGTGATAATTGCCAGCACAACGAGTCAACACAAAAGACCATTTGTGTTAGGTATTGGGGATTACGTTCATATCCTCTGGGCATAACCATTTAACTTCTTGTCTTGGCTCCATCACAAACATTGGTTTTTGCAATGTCTTCCCTTTAGTAACGTCAGAACATTTTCCCGCGAAGCAAACAGAAAAATCACCGAAACTCTATAATTTTTTTTAATAAATAAATAAAAAATAAGAAAACGAGTGAAAAAGGGAAGGAACAGGTCATGATGACGCGGACCAACCAAAGCAAAGTCTCTAACACTACTGGGTCCCACCTCACCTCACCTTCCCTTCATTCCTTCCTTCCCATATAAACCCTCCTCCTCATCAAATTAACCAAAAACGCCAAACAAGCGCATAAGCGCTCCCCCAAAGCCCCAGCGCGCGAGGTCCCTCTGACCCCCCACCACGCGTGGGGTGGTGGCTGAGCCCATGTCTGAACCGCACGCGCCGCCTCCTCCGCCGCTCTACAAGCAGCACTCCTGGTCCCCTGACGCCTACCGAGACGAGGCATGGCACCGCCGCAAGAAGATCAATGGCAGATCGAAGCTCCAGCGTAGCAAGAGCGTCACTGACGAAGACCTCGACGAGTTGAAAGCCTGCATCGAACTCGGGTTCGGGTTTAACTCTCCCGAGTCGGATCAGCGGCTCGCCGACACCCTGCCCGCTTTGGGACTTTACTACGCGGTTAACAAGAGTTATTACGACTCGGTATCTCACAAGTCTACGACGACCCCAACGTCCTCGTTTTCGCCAACCCCGTCCGAGTGCGACTCGGTGCCCTCCCCCGTGGACAGCCCGCATACAATCTTCGGACCCGGTATGTGTATTTTCATGCGATTCCAAAAACAGGGTTGTGTTTATTTTTTTGATTTTCCATCTGATTTTGGATCAAGTTCAGTTCTTTACTTTAATTTTTTTGGGGTTATGAATCTGATTTTCTGTTTGTTTCCCGGGAAAATGGAAATGGGGTTGAAGGAGATACGCCGCAGACGGTGAAGGCGCGGTTGAGGCAGTGGGCCCAGGTGGTTGCTTGCACGGTGAGGCAGAGTTCTTGAGCTGATTGATTAATGTATGTAACCAAACCAAACCGGAGTTATGAATGTAACCAAACATCAACGTCAAAAACTTGGTCTGTGATTATTGACTGTGATCTTCCAATTTCCCACAGACTTTGATGGATTAATAATAATAATTAGGAGGGATTAATTTTTTTTTTCTTCTTTCAAACAGTAGTTGTAATGTGAACCAACTTCTTGTACTGGGATGGATTGACCTTTTGCTTTTGGTTTCTTTAATTGGTAATTTCGCTATGTTC